ATCACCATCACCACCACCATCATCATCATAACCATCAGCATCATCATCATCACCATAACCATCATCATCATCACCATCATCATCAACATTACCACCATCGTCAACATAACCATCATCATCATCATCATAATCATCACCACCATCACCATCATAACCATTATCATCATCACCATAACCATCATCATCATCATAATCATCACCACCACCACCATCACCATCATCATAATCATCATCATCACCATAACCATCATCATCATCATAATCATCACCATCATCATCACCATAACCATCATCATCATCACAATCATCACCACCATCACCATCATAACCATTATCATCATCACCATAACCATCATCATCAATATAACCATCATCACCATGTTCGCATTGATATCGTAACTTGTATCGCATCGATATCTTAGCCTTCCTGATCAGAAGAACAGCTTTATTGATCTTGTTTTCCATATTTTCATTCACTCATTCATTAATCATTCTTTTTCATTCATTCACAGACGCAGTTTAATTGTAGTTTGGATAAAGATCGTTCAGTATATCGCATGGTCAGTTCTGGTATGGGAGTATGGCTTTCCTTACAGAGTAGTGCTGTTATCAGACTCTTCCATGCCACGAGATACGAGTGTTTAGCAGATGTAGATGTTGCACCTCCTGTGCATAAGATGTTAGCAGGTAAGTACTCTCATTGCAGTGCAATCATAATGCCAACTCAAGTTGATAATGGTAATGAAGGAAGCATGGCGCCCATCAATTGCACATGTACATGACCTTGTTCGCTGCAATTAAATAATAAAACAAGCCAAACACGCCGAGAAAGCAACTGACGAGCAAGAAAGGTGTCGTAATTGTTTGCAATAATCTGAATAGGATTTTAAATTAATTCCAGGCTCGGACGCTATAATCCGTCAGCACAAAGCAGCATGTCTTCGAGTGACATCATTATTAACCTGTAAAGACCTTCTGTGGATAGGAACAAGTGCTGGTGTGGTCCTTACCTTGCCACTACCAACTATTGCAGCTACCACATCATCTCTACGAAATAGCCCTTCGGCAACTGCTTCTTATCACGGACATACCGGACACGTCAGATTTCTGACAGCTGTCGAGGTTCCTAAAGAGGGAGCACAGGAGAGCACTAGTGATAAGGAACCTAACACTCCTGTAACCCCAACTTTAACTTCCGGTCCTCCACTTACGCCTGGAGGTCCTTCGGGAAGTAATAGAGACATTGCTAGAGACATTTTGATAATCAGTGGAGGAGACGGTTATGAGGATTTTAAAACAAGTTCAACAAGTGAATCTGCGGGCAGAGACGACAGTACGAACCACTTATTAATATGGCGAGTCTGATTCTTAAGTATTGCTTATTCGGAAGTGTTATCCTGAGTTGAAAATTCTGGAACGATGTATATCAAACACGTTTTGGTGGTGTTACAAAGCTACATAGCATTAGATGTTAGACAAAGAACATTTTCTTTTCTCCAGGTGGAATCTTATATTTGCACCAAGAGCAGACTTTTTGTTAATAGTTTACCAAAGCACTTTATGAATGGCTTCTCCGATAGTTTGTGTCGATCATAACACCGTAGGGTTACTGATACCTTGGACTCTGCTGCGCTGTGAGGCGGTGCCATTCTACAAGTCGTTTTTGATGCATGACATCTATTTTCTCGCCTTTGATTGCCTTCATGACTTGCTCTTCCTTGCTTTGGATTGGGTAGTTGAGAAAAACCATTTCACTGCACGACATGCGCTCATGCTTATGATTGATTCAACGAAGATTGAGTTTCACCTGAGAGTTGCCCAATCATCCGCTTTATTATCCTATTGTCTAACACCAAACCTCATTTTAGAAGGAGATAGGAACTGAAAATCCCGTTTTTAAGCATCAGATGGAGCTTCATTTAAGCCTTACCTAACATTGCTGGGCTTTCGTTTATTTTTTCTAATTTTAGATTTTAAAAGTTCAAAACAAATCCACATATCCAAGAATGTAAAAATCACAGACAAGATAGAATTTTCAATTTGTACAAACTACGTTTTTCGAAGTATAGATGATAGACTTCAGGCTAAACTATACATATATCTGTTTTAGGAGAACATTTTTTTTCTGTTTTAGAAGAACCTTATTTTTATTTCCTTTGTACAAAGTGTTTAAATATATGATAATATTAATGATATCATTACAAATTTCCTTTTCGGCCCTGTGTAATTATTTGATGTGAATGTCAAGTTTCATAGATCATATTATGAATATTATTAAACAAGCAAAAAACCAAGTCAAGTTTCAAGTATTTTTCAAGAATTATACAAGGAAGGAAGGTAAAAAAACATGGTCGTATCCTAAACGGTATAGTGGTTGTCAACCTGTTTATGCCCTGTCACATTGAGTATTTAAGACAAATGTGTAGTATGTGTTCATTGTGTCTTGAAGAGCGACAGAAGTCTTAACTGCCCTCGTTTTCTTTTTCAATTACATAGCTAGTCATTTCCCCAAACCCATTCCAATCAATTGCAACCAGCTATTTATTTTATTAACTAGTTTGTTAATATTATTTTTTCTTTTTTGCTAAATCCAGTTAAAAAAATAATATTCGAAAGATTGTGTACGAAAAATCTCACTTTGTAGTTTCACTTTTCCAACAAATTTAGAAAAACTAACAAGGCTAAGTATATATTGGTGGTCTTTTCGAGTGTTTTTTTAAACTTTGTGTGGCTTTAGTTGGTATACTTATTGCTATACAAGTCTGCTTCGCTGAAAGGCTATTTAAGGTGCTGACACACGGTGCAACATTATATGCAACATTGAACGCAACAGGACTGTTGCAGCGTGTCTACCCCAAACTTGTTGCGCGCAAAGTTGCATGCAACAAATCTGAAGTCGAATCGCGCTCTACTCTTGCAACATTGCGCGCAACAAATTTCATCATGTGAACATGTCTGCAACATTGCCTCCAACATTTTGAAATTTCCAGCCAATCAGCCCGCACCAAATTTATAACTGCTGCAGGCTGACACAAGCGATGTTGCGTGATTTTGTTGCAATGCGTGTCACCCCGATTCAAATTTGTTACATTCATTTCGATTCTTTTCTGATCCTTATTGCTGCTGCAGCTGAGGTAACATTTTTAAAACCAAGTTACAATCATAAATTAATTATACAAGGAACCATGGACTGGACTAGTCACTTCATCTTTTTGTCACTTTAGCTTTTATTTTCAATCACATTCCTACAGCTTTCACCCTATTTGTTAGACATGTTAGACACAGGCTACGCTTTAACTCTGATCTAAAGGTTGGACTAAACAGCTGATGTAACATTTGCTGCTGCAGCTGATGTAACACTTTTAAAACCAAGTTACAATCATAAATT